GAGAGAGGGAACACAAGCAGGGGGAGTGGGAGAGGGAGAAGCAGGTTTCCCACGGAGCAGGGAGCCCGACACGGGGCTTGATCCCAGGACCCTGGGACCATGACCTGAGCCGAAGGCAGATGCTTAATGACTGAGCCACCCAGGTGCCCTTGAAAAATACTGCAAATTTTAAATTGTTACATACTTTTAAATGTATCTAATGGAAGTTTCATACCTCATGGGTATGATACCCATTGTCCAATTAAAAAAAAAAACATGGACAAGTTCTGCTTTCATATTTGGGAATTTCACATTATTTTTCTTTCTACTTGAATTTATATTTTAATTCCATTTCTACTGTAGAGTTTTATTCTAAAGTAGCACATTTATGAAATATTTGTAATTCCATGGATGTGGACGAATATTATGTACTGTAGCACTGTGGTCAACAGTACAATATGGAGCCAAATCTCTCAAGTTCAAACCAAGTTTTGCACTTACCTGCTGTGTGATATGGAGAAAGTTCTTTAACTCTCTGTGCCTAAGTTTCATCGTCTATTTTGTTCCCCTCTTTTGTTTTTCTAGGTTTAAGTGCTGATCAACCTTGTTTCACATAAAGAGGTAGATGACAATGGAAGGACTTTTGGTATCTATAGCCCCTCAAATTTGAACTTCCTCCAAGTTATATGCTAAAAAAATCACAGTGGTCTCTCCTCAAAACATTTTTTTTTAAATGCAAGGGTTGACAACTCCTTGAGAACCTTTTTCGGTTTTGTTGCAAGAAAAGCATTGGAAGTACCTGTTTTTCAAAATGTTTCTGGAACTTGAGCTTTTAATTTCTAGGGAGTATACGAACAAAAGGCTTTAGTAGACTTGGCTGACAGCTCTTAGAGCCGGTTACTCTTTCACTTAGAGGCTCCAAATTTAACTCAATATTCTCAGAGGGTCAGGAAAAATGTAGTGAATTTCCCTGCTACATCTTGGACAATAATATTTTTAACCAGCTTTATTAATGGTATAATTTACATGGAATAAAATGCACCAATTTAAAGTGTACAGTTCTATGCATTTTGACAAGTGTTTGAAGTTGTGTAACCACCACCAAAGTCATGATGTAGAACATTTCCATCACCCCCAAAATGTTCCCTTGTGCTTCTTGTAGTCAAGCCCCTCTGCAAGTTCCTGGCCCCTGAGCTTTCTCTTACTGTGCTCTATTTCTAGTAACTGACTAAATATCTAGGAGTGAGATTGCTGTTACGTGGTTAGTGGATGCTTAACTTTATAAGAAACTGCAAATTAGTTTTGAAAGTGACCGTGCCACCTGCAATCTATAGGAGTTACTGTTTATATTCTCATCAAAACTTGCTATCATCAGTAATTTTTCATTTTAGCTATTTTATGGGTATTTAAGTAGTACCATATTGTGGTATCGTATTTATCTAACTATTAATGATGCTGAGCATCTTTTCCTGTATTCATTTGCCATGGCCACATGCTTATTTGCTTTATGGCTATTCTTTGCTCATTTGTTCAAATCTTTTTGCTCATTTGAAAAATTGACTGACTTACCTATCATTGGGTTATAAGAGTCTTTATTCTAGGTTATTTTTAAAATATGCTTTTTGTATTAGCACATGTTTTACATATATTCTTTAAAATCTTGGAGCTGCAGATTTAGCTCATCTAATTTATGAAAAATGGACATATTTTCATATGTCCATTCATATGGACATATTTCATAATGGACAAAACAGGGGCCCTTGTTACACCAATCAGCCAAATCAGACTTTCTTTAAAAAAAAATCTGACTTCATTTTTCAATACTAACAAATATACCAATATGGATTTGGATTATCCTCAAGAGTGAGGCTTTTTTTGGGAGGTGGGGTGTAAAAAGTTGGAGATGGAAGTGTTAGCATGTTCATGGAAATTTGTCTTCACTCCCACTCTATGGTATTTCTATATTCAAAATATTCCAACACAGGTAAAAATTACCCTGGTCCTGAAGTCTTAAATAGATATGTATGTAATCAATTAAAAAGATAAGAAGCCATTCACAGACACTAATATTCTGAATTATTCCTTTAGTTGGTGCTCAAAAGTCTCTCCCTCTGGACCTGTCCACCATGGGTAGATGAAGGGGTGGCTAGAGTAGGTTTCCTTTTCAAGGGGGGAGCCCTGCCAGGAAAGGGGAGGCGGGAGGGGCGACCCAGGGCGAGTGGAGCCCTGGGGCATCTCAAGCAGGGGAGTTTTGGGAAAGTACACATATGGAAATTGAAGAAATGGAAACTGATTCCCTATTCATGCCTGCATACTCCTTGGACAATTTCATGAACTCCCAGGAGTATCCATAACATAGTATGAAGACTCTTGTGCTAAACTAATGTGGTTTTTGAAGAGGTAAATGCTTGAGAGGCAATGAGTTGTCAAATACTCCAAGAAAGATAAATTGTTTCCTGCTGGAATGGAGGCAAGTTTCCTAGAGGGACAACGGAGTGATGTCTTTGAGGAGTCAGATGGGGCTCATATCCAGAATTTCTTCAAACCTGTTGGTGAGATTTTAATGCACTGGTACCATAATTGAAGTCCCTTTCTCTGTGTCTCTCTAAATATATATGTGTGTGTATATATTTTTTTCATAGTGAATATATATATGTTCATATATATTCATTTTCATATTTATATATGTTACTCTATGATATGTAAATTTTTCATAAAAGGTGATGGTAGTCTTATTTATAAGTACATGTAATACTTTTATTATTATTTTAAATCAGTTGTCATTGTGACACTGTTTTTAAGTCTTTGATTAATGTTCCCCCAGTATGATTTGCTTGGGGACAACCTCAATCTTTATCTGTGGGAGACCTAATTATTGGAGTATTTAATTAAGAGTTTCTTTCAGGCACTTTTCAGAGAACAATTTAATATTAGAGAAACTCCACCTTATTTATATCTCTACAACTGAACAGTGAAGAAATCTTGACAGTTGTCACAAAAACTCGAATAGACCAAACATTACAAAAATTATTTTCATTTATTCAAGCCTTTAAAATAAAATATTCATTTAATAGGATACTCGCAGAGGCAATAAAATACATAATTTATTCGGCTTTTCAAACTCATTTAAAAATAGAGAGCTGTCATTTTACGAAGCTCAGCTATTTTTCTTCCCTCTAGCACATTAGAAAAAAAACCACAACTCACAAGGTACCATACCATGTAAGAAAGCCAAGTTTTGTCTCACATATCTGGATCCCATAGGGAGGAAAAGCCTGCTTGCTTCAGCTGCTGGCATCCAGGCCCTTGACTCTGGGTATGCTGAAATGATGATCTGAATTCACAGTGTGAATTTAGTACACCTGCCTGTTTTCTGTTTGATGAGGAAAGCATAGAAGGTACCTAACAGACAGACCCAGAGTCTTCCTTTTGCACCATTGGAAGTGTATTCTTTGAAACTCCCTAATGGAAAATCTGTACCACCTCTCCCCTACTGGCCTTCATAAAAATCTTTAGTCCCTTTTAATATATTTGTCTAATGATGAAAAAAAATATAGGAGCTTTACTCAATTGTAAATGTGACCCTCATATAAAAAGGCATAAATGTTACAATTTTTAAAGCTGATTCCCTCACCCTCTGTTGAAAGCTAAGAGTTGATCTTCATGTTCTTTTAATGCTGAGGAACACCAGTAGGATCTGAACTCACATCATCCAAATGCAAAAGGCCCTTTGGAGCCCAAACATTCGAAAGGAAATCTATGAGGCAGGGAAAATGTCCAAATGGAAAACAGAACTAAACCACTATGATCTGAGTTAAGAATGTGCCCTGTTATTGCCGCAGAATGAAGGAAAAGAAATTCAATTAGATCCAACGCGTGGCCAGTCGTTTCCCCCTTGACATTAAACCCTGCGGCCATTGATCAAATCCTCCCTGCTTCCTGTTGTGACATATACTCACAGCAGGCAGAGAACTCACTTGGCAGTGCCCTTCCTACTTCTGGGCCCTGGGCATGTCCTCTTCTTCTTCAAATACTGCTTAATACTCACTTCCCTCATGGATCCCTGACTTCATTCTTTTTTTGATGACATCTAACTGACTCTTATCATGAATTTCAAGCAGGCCTTTACTACTGCTGCTTTTCCTTGCATTTGCCATCATCTCGCATGGAACTGAATTCACCCACTAGAGTAGGGATGTTTTATCCAGTACTTCTGCAGTCTCTGAGCCTCCTGCCACCTCCCTGCTCCATGATGCCTACCGTAGGGCCTTCCCATGAGCTGAATAGACCTGCCTCCTGCAGGCAAACCTTGAGAAAATCCCTCTCTAGGGCTTGAAGAGCTCTTTGTCAAATTCAAGCCATAGGAAAGAATTCTGCTTTTCCCAAAAAATCTAGTGGCGTCATTGGACTCCTGAGGCAAAGCTACCAATGCATAATGTCACTGATGGGTTATGGGCCTGATTCTAATTTGGTGATTGAATTCTATTTAGTAACTCTTTTCTCTTATTTTTGCTTTTGGACTGTCACTGGAGAAGGCTGATTTTTTTTTTTTTTTTAATACAAGAAGTCAGATATTTGTCCATGTTACACTACAAAGTTATATAAATAAATAAGTTGCAACATTTTCAAAGTAATAATTAATATGTCAGTGGAAGATGTTCATTTCAATCTTTTTACAATCATAAATACTGAAGAAAATCTTGATCAGTTTATAATAATAATAATAATTCATTGCATCTATATTAAGATATAAAAAGTCAGGTGCTCGTCTCTGGGTTATGAGGTTCTGGGTAAGAATCCGGTTCAGGATAACAAAGACAGTATATATATATATATATAAATATTTGTCACATTAAGGATTTGGACCACCAGTCACTTGGTACCAAAACTAATGTATGGATTCAACTGGAATTTAAATTTTCACTTTAACTTTTTCCTGCCCAATATCCCATCAAAACAAACAAATCTTGTTATCACAGAAGCATGCACTTCAGAATTCTTCTCTTTTGTCCACTCAGTGTCTACCTTTCATCTGGTTGAAATCCTTCATTCACCTTATGGAGCGATGACTCGGAGACCGTTTCATTGTCTTTGCTCTCTGGCAATTCCACGTTGTTTTTTCCATAACATTTCTTGTATGCCACATACACTAGAAAGCAATACACAGGAGGTGAGTGGACTTTCATAACAATTAGCTGCAAGCTTGCTTTGGACAGTGATTACAATCTATGGCTCAAAATTGGCTTGCACTTTTTGTAGGCTGCAGGTTGCTTGGAGAAAGCAGAAGGCATTCTTTAGTTCACAGCCAGCCACGGTGAGAGGGATGGCTGTGCTTCAGGAAGACCGGGCACACAATGGCAGGGGTGCTTGCTCACATGACTGCAGCAGGCATCAGCCCCGCAGGGGGTGCCCACCAAGAGTAGTAGCGGGCCCCTAATCTGTACCCACCGTGTCCCAGTCATTGAAGTCCTCAGTAAATACGATGCATGCCAAGGCACAGTGTCAAGGACCTTGGTCTAGTGCTCTCTGTTGGGGAGGACTTGGGCTGGAATAACACTTTGTCTCTCCCTGACTTCATTCCTTCCCACAAAGCAGGAGCCCTGGCTGATGTGTGATCAGCCTTCCTCTCTTCCGAGAGGCTGCTAGTCTCTGGGGGCAGCCATTTCTCAGCATCTTTGTGAGCTCAGCCCACCTGGGCAGACTTTCTGGCAAGGGGAGATGAGCAGTGTATGTACGTATATGCGTGTTATGTGCACATGTATGGGGCAGTGGAGAGGGATGAATCAGCCCATGGGGTCGCAATTTTGAGCCATACTTTCTACGTAAGTTTTATCTGTAATAAGAGTGCTATTTTGTTATCTACATATCTGATTTTTCTTCTACTTCTCAATTGGTTCCAAAGTCAATAGAGGGAGAGAAAGTATTATTTATTGGAACTTCACACTTAAAATAGGTATAGTCATATTGTCTATCTCAGAGGGGAATTGTGAACATTAAATGAAGTAAAATAGTAAGGTGCCTAGTATGGCCCTGGGAAAATAGTTACTGCTCAGGAAATGTTAACTCTCATGATACGCAGCTGAGAGACAGTGGCCAAAGATCTTGATATGTCATGATCCATGTCTCTTTGTTGGTCCCTTTAGCAACATATTAATTTTGAAGCCACTGAGCTATTGAATCTATTGACTGGAGCTTGTGGTTAATTAAAATAGCCCAACAGTTTTATAATAAACTGTTTTCAGCTGGGATTTCTTCAACACACACCACCTATTTTATTTAATCAAATTTTTTATTCTCTTCTTTCCTTCTTTCTTTTCTTTCCCTCCTTCCCTTCCTCCCTCCCTACCTCCCTTCCTTCCTTCTGTCCTTCCTCTCTTCCTCCCTCTGTCCCTTCCCAGTCCTCCTTTCCTTGTTCCAAAAATATTTAGACTTCTAATCCCTTTACCAAAATGTTTCCAGGCATTGCATGTAATTAATAAAGATGACTTCCTCATCTGTATTCTTGCTGATAAAAATGTGGGAAAGCCTAAGACCAATACCAGTACCTGCCTTCCCATCATTCCTTCAGCTTATCTATGAGTCCCTTTTGAGTTAGTTATTCAACTAGTAAATTCACTTAATCGTTCTATCAACCAGTCTGTTTTCTCTGGCTTTCTAGTAGACATCACTCGCTAATTATTTGGAAAACTCTCAAGGTGTACCAAACTGGGTGTATGTCTGTCATACACGACAACAAGGTAATTAGGCCATGGACCCCTGTCTCCTGTGTGAGTGATAAATCAGTGGAAAGTTTTGAACGGATCCAGAGAGTCTTATACAAGAAGGAAAACTTTGTTCTGACAATAGCGTTCTAGACAGTAATGCAGAGAAGGATCAGTGCCCACAGGCAAGTGCAATACCTATTGGAGCGAAGTACAAAAGGAAAACCAAACCCAAATAACACTGGACCTCCAGGCATTTTATAACTTACCATTCCCATTATTTGTGTCTTTCACCTTCACTATATAACCTTCCTTAAAAATCAACGAGCTTAAGACATCAGTCTTTATTTAGAAAAAAAAATAGAGTTTAAAAATAGAGTTTAAACATATCAGTCCTTGGAGAACAAAATGTAAGGAAAGCTTTAACTAGGTGAAGGCCAGCAGGTGGCAGGGGCTGAGGATCAGAGCTGATGCTACAGTAGAGGTAAATTAAAAATCAGGTTAGCTATCCCTAGGACTTGAAATAGGGAACGTGTTTGCTTTAACTGTTTCAATTACATGGATGTTACTTAGTATATGCACACATGCACATGCACATATGTCTGTCTTCCAGTATAACTTAGCCTGATAAATATCCCTTGTATACCACTGTTCTGGATAAATATCCTATATTTACAAAGCATAACAAGATGATGATCTGGAAAAAATGACCAGTTTGAGGTTCCTGGAAGCATGTAGAAAAACACACAATAAAATGGTCCTAACAGGTTAATATGCCTTCCTAATTACTGAGAAAAAGAAAGTTGGTGGAGAGAATCGACTTCTATTACTTTTTATTTAAAAATAACAAATATATAAAATACATAAATATAAAATATATGTAAATATATAAAATATATAAAAATAAATAATCTTTACTAGAACCTTCTGATAAAATTGCAATCTTCTCTTCAGCAGTTGGGAAGTCATGATAACATTATAGGTGGCTTTATCCACCCATTTATTTTACTGCCCGAAAAAGGGAATTTAATTTAACTTATATAATTCACCACCACAAAAAATGCCATCTTAGCAACTCGAGGATTTCTCAAAGAGGACCATTATCAGCGACATGTGATTAGCATTGTTCCTTACTTCCTAAGAATATTGCTGCAAAGGCAAGCTGAAAGATGCTGTAGATGAGCGGGAAGGTAAACACGAGGTTGAGCTCCTCCTGGGTGAAGGAGAGCTGCACGATGGTGGAGCACAGCTGAGCGTTCTGCATCCCCGTTTCCAAAGCAACTGTCCGGCATCTACGAGACATGTTAAGAGGATTTATGCTTTTATTGTCAGTATTTTTTGCTTTGTTATTGTATAACATTGGAAGCAGATATAATGTGGGAGCGCCTGGGTGGCTCAGTCGGTTAAGCGTCTGACTCTTGATTTTGGCTCAGGTCATGATCTCAGGGTCATGAGATCGAGCCCCATAGGGCTCTGTGCTGGTTGTGGAGCCTGCTGAAGATTCTCTCTCTCCCTCTCCCTCTGCTCCTTCCCCTCTTCTCACTTCATGCATGTGCACATGAGCTCTCTCTCTCAAAAAAAAGCAGATATAATGAGAGCAAGCACATATATGTGTATATATTTATATCTGCTTTTAATGTATACATTTATTCAACATGTACTTTTACCTAAACTACATAGATATATAACTTTAGTATGTATTATTATGTACTACATAAGTGTTCTCTATATATACATAGATAAAATCTTGCCCTAGTTACCTTTTCTTCTTTTTAAAGATTTATCCTTCCATTAGAGAGACAGAGAGCGCGAGAGCTGGTGGGAGAGCGGCAGAGGGAGACGGAGACAAGCAGACTCCCCGTAGAGCAGGGAGCCCGATGTGGGCTCGATCCCAGGTCCCTGAGATCATGACCTGAACCGAAATCGAGAGTGGGATGCTTAACCGACTAAGCCACCCAGGCGCCCTCCCTAGTCATCTTTTATGATTGTTATGATAATGAGAAAAGGGATATAAAACTCTACAAAAGTTAAAAAGCATATGCAAACAAAACCACTGTTGTTACTGTTTTCTCATTAAAAAAAAATTTAGGGC